GTACTAAGACTCACTTAGAGGATCAATTGAGATATGGTTCTTAATCATTAAGACCTATCATAAAGCATAAAAGGTACTCTCCCTTCTTCTTAGAATGGAGAAACTTTTATCTTTCTGCCCACTTGACTCTTCTTATCCGTTCTGCTATTGATTTAAACATTTTCAATCAATTCAGAATCACACTTAATCTTATTAGCATAATCATATTTACTAAACCTTTAGTAAATCATGATGGATGCCTTTGTTACTCTTATGGTGGACTTTGATCAACACGCAACTTTGTGTACTTGATCTCCTAGTCCTTCACTTGACACTTTGTCAATGAATTAGTCTAATTTCCAAAATATGAAATTTCTCATTCATCGTGCAACCAAGTTGCATGATTCCAAGTTTCTGTCCAATTGAAACTTGGGCGATGAGAAACTCTCCCTATTTGGTAAATTCTCGACATTTCCATAAATAACATAACTATGAATCATATCCATTCATTGTAGAAATATGCAAACATCAATTTTCATAACGATTTCATTGCAAGGAAGTAAATAAATAAATAAATAAGTCAAACAAAATTTATTTTATTTATAAAAGAAGCGGAAAAACATTTGTCCCTACAATGCAAAATCTATTGAAAACTATGTAAAAGGAAAATTTCTAACAACTCTATCATAACTATCTAAGCTCAAAATCCAATCTTCAAGTCCATGCGATCGAGATCCATCTCTTGTGATTAGATTCATCTTGCTCTCTTATCAAGCTTCCTTTCTTTTCACCGATCCTTCAAAACATTCAAATGCAATCTTATCACATCATGTATTAAGAATCAATGAATAGGAACTTAACGGAGTTAGATAGTGGATTTTACCTGAAGCGTAGTCATACTTTTGACTCTCCCATCTCTTAGATCTCTTAGGTAAATAGGGCAACTTCGTTTCCAATGCCCCTTCTCTTGGCAATAAAAGCAAATTGACTCTTTTGGAACAACACATGGAACTACTTCAGACATCGCCTTTCTCTTATGATCAAACTTTTCAATCATTGCTTGTCTTTCATTTCCATTGTCTATATCCATAGAGGTCTTGAAGGCAGATTCACCAATCAACTTTGCTTTTTCTATTGCGCCAAACTATTGTTGATTCAGCAGCAATAAGCATATAGGTGAGATCAATAAGGGTCACGTCGTGGTTCATCATATAGTACTCTCTTACGAACTCACTATATGAGTTAGGAAGTGACTGAAGAACCCAATCAACAACCATTTCCTCACAGACAATGGATCCCAACATTCTTAACCTATCAATGTGTGACTTCATCCCTAGGACGTGTGCACACACCGACTTTCCTTCTTTATGTTCACTTGCCAAAAGGGCTTGAGTAATCTTGAACTTTTCAAGCCTTTGAACTTGTGGTTTAGGGAGAATAATTGGAGGAGGAGGAGGAAGTGAAGCATGATCTCTTGTTCCTCGATCGAATCGTGGAATATCACCTTCATGTGGAATGCTTGTTCCACGGGATTTGGGAAGACCATAGTTGTCGAACTTTGACATCTACAAAACGGGAGAAAAATGAATTCAAGTTAGTTGATAGATTGAGTCCTTAGTAAATCACCCAAATGAAATACTAAGGCTAGGACCCAACACAATATTCTACAACTCGGGATGCCGTAACCCTAATTGCAAAATATTTGAATGTAAGTGAATGACGATTCACTAATTTCCACCACGAAAAACGAAAAAGAAATTTAAGTTTTAAATCTATGAAAACTCCTAAATCCTTTGAGATTCATTGAACTTTCAATGGCATGTTTAAATCTCGATATGCCCCTCTTGTTTGTGACTGGGATGCCGAGGATCACAAAGCGGGTGTGAATAACCATGCAAACTTACATGGTGCCCTCACATGTTACATTCACCTATTCGATGTGCCGGTAAACCACACACGCTCCATCGAACTATGACAAACATTGAGTCACCCTTTGCAACCTTTGCTTAGAACCATTTAGTGTGCCGGTTAACCACACACGCTCCACTAACGTCTTCGCAAGGGCACAAAGTATAATTTCATGGAATTGCATCAATTCACTTTTCCTAAGTAACTAAGATTGGGAATTTTGAAAAACATTTAGTTAATTTAGTAATTCATTATACTTATAATGGAAGGTTTCGTCCTATCCTACCCGTTCGGCTAACGACCCTCCACTAGTCAAGAATGCGGTGGGTAAGAGTGGATACCCATTCAATCGCCATTTTATAGGCAATTTCCTTAAACACCCCTTATAGACCAGCTTCGTGAATGAGGCCTACTAACGGTAAGATTGAGTTTTAGTTATACATATATAATGTTAGACTTTTATGTTATATATAGTATAGGGTGTATTTTATAACTTTTAAAATACTATGTGGTTAACTTTAACAATTACACTTTTAATTCAATTAATTGGTTAACCTAAACTTTTATGGATTTATTAAATCTCTTTTAACTATACACCTTAATTAATTAATAAAACCATAAGGGTGTATTTGAACTTTTCAAAACTAGGGTTTTAGAATTTAACATTCCTAATTAAACTTTTTAATCAACTTTTAAATTCCAAAACTTTAGGGCAAGTTTTGAAACATTTCAAAACATTAGGGTTTAGAATTTAAATATACATCAAAATTAAACTATTTAATCAAAATTTAAATCCCAAAACTTGAGGGCAAGTTTTGAAACCTTTTTCAAAACATTAGGGTTTTAACTATTTAAATTTCAAAACAACAAAACTTTTGGGTTCAAATTTAAACTATAAAACCTAAAGGGGAAAATATGAAACTTTTCATAACAACAAGGATCAAATAACAAATAATTTTAAATTAACATTTAATCACATAATTATCCATATTTGATTTATTTAATAATTTCTTGCAAAACAATTTATTAATTTACTCAAAATAATTAATCAATTATCTTATAAGGAAACAATTATCTTATTAATTGATAAATATCTTCATTTAGATCAAAAATATAGTCAAATATATCATATAATCGGATTAATATTGATCTAACATGATAAGGTAACTATCCATATGCAAAAATAACAAGAAATCCCGAGATAAGCATTATCTGACGAGTTGACTCGTCGAGTCAAGCCTGGACTCGTCGAGTCACCCTGGACTCGGCGAGTTCAGCTATGGACTCGGCGAGTCCAGCCTCTAGAACACCAAAAATCGAATTTTTCAGATATACAATGCATCAATACAATTGAAACCAAGCTAGGCTCTGATACCATTGATGGGTTTTGGTCATAAGATATGCTATGTGCTCATACAAACCCTAATGCTTGGATCTAGGTTTCTCTATTGTACATGCTATGAATCCAAGACTATAAACCCTAATTCTAGCATATGGAAATCGACAATAGCATATAATTAAGTTTAAGATGTTACCTTGATTGGTATGTAGCAATAACAATCCCAATTCCTCCTTGAATTGACTTTGGAATGCTTAGAGTTACAAGTGTCACTCCTCTAATGGTTCACAAACACCATAAGCAAGAGGATGAAGAGGAGAGAGGTTGGAGGCTGCCAAAAACGTGTAGAAACCCTAACAAGAAGCTTAGCCACGTTTTTGAGCCTTAAGGGGTCTTTATATAGTTGGGCTATTAGGGTTATCTAACAAGGAAACCCTAATTTGGATGCTTAAGCCCTAAGCAACCCATAGACTCCTTTAATTAAGCCCATGGACGATTTCCTTATGGGTTTCCCATTAGAATTCGTCCATCCCTTAATATAAGGCAATCCATGGCCCAAATTGCAATTATCTTATAATTACAATTCCAGTCCCTTAAGTTTAATTAATCTCTTTTAGTCACAAAATTAATTACCAATTAATTCTTGACTAATATTAATTAAATAATATGATTTCTCCTTTAATATATTATTCCCATAATATATTAATAAATCATATTTAATCATTTCTCTCCATAATTCATCCTATCAAGTTGCTTTGGTGAAGGCAACCCAAAAGGATCATGCACCATCGGGTCAAGTACATACCAGAATAGTTATGGACTTAGACACTAATCCAACACTATTTAGACTATTAGCGGCGACACAGTCGCCTTCATTGGTGTCGGCACTCTTGGTAATGTACGCAACAACGGTCCAAGTCGTTGGATTTGCAACAAAATCAACTAAGAGTGTGTAATCTAAGCTTTTCACACGAATCGGGGTTGAAGAGTATTAGTGGTGACAGACACTATTGGTAGCGACAACCAACGTGATTGGTGGTTGTCGCCGCTAATATTAGTTGTCGCTACTAATAGTTGTTAGTCTTGTAGTGAAAATATACTTTGAAGTTTTATTTTCATCCGTATGTTACTTACATAATTGTTTAGATCGAAACTATATTTTGATGCCATTATAGTAACGTCACCATACTACATGTGGAACGTTGACATTTATAAATCAAATTCTATATACAAATTGCAAATGATTTATCTTGCGCATTAAAGTTACGGTTTTTATTGAGTAAATATTTTTTTTGTAGTTTTCGTTTTAGTTAATTGTAATTGAGTTCTACCGGCATTGTGCAAAGTGGGTTAAATACTTAAATATATACAAATTAATTATTTTAGAACGAAGATACATTTATTTACCTCATTTGTCTCTGGTGTTCAGTTTTTTATAAGATGCAAATCAAAGATCCAAATCCTTTTGTACCAAACAGTTTGAAACACGTAAAAAATATGATAACAAGATCATTGAACCTTTTATGTATTATATTATATTATAATTGATAATTGATAATTGATATTATTATTCGTATTTATTAGTTTGGTTTTGATCTTCCTACTTATTGTAAACAATTAATCATTGCTTCTTTTGCCAAGTTTTTAAAAGAAAATATATCTTGACATGTTGCAAGTGCCCCACAGTATATTTTTATATTATTTTGGATACTTTGATTTTAAGCACTCCCTATATATAGGGGGTGTTTTGACAAAGTTTTCATCAAACAGTTTCCTCCTCACCTCATCCTCTCTTTCTCTCGCCCCCTTCTTTCTCTCTCTAAGGATTATTCTTTCAACACAAATTGCTCCAAGACTTGAATTCAAGAAAACCCTTTACATTTGCAAGAAACAGTTATACCCATGGCAATAGAGATTGTACAACCAAGTGTTGGATTATCAAAGATAGCAGTCTCAGAAACCCATGGAGAAGACTCTCCATACTTTGCAGGTTGGAAAGCTTATGATGAAAACCCTTATGATGAAGTACATAACCCCACCGGTGTCATTCAGATGGGACTAGCGGAAAATCAAGTAAGCACTCACACAAGTTTAAAGGGTTCGAGTCACGAAATCAGCCCCTTTATATAAAACACATGCTAACAAAGGTCTTCTCCCTCTTTTTGCAGGTGTCTTTTGATTTGCTTGAAGAATATTTGGAAGCAAATCTTGAAGCATCAAATTGGGGCCAGAAGGTTTCTGGCTTTAGAGAGAATGCTTTGTTTCAAGATTATCATGGGCTTCAATCTTTTAGAAAGGTACCGTCTTTTTAACAGAATGTACAAACCCACAATGCTTTTGTTTTCTGAAGAGTGATCAAAAAAGTCTAACTTGTTTATTTGTATTGATCTTGATCGTTCTAGGCAATGGCAAGTTTCATGGAACAAGTGAGGGGAGGAAAAGCAAAATTCAACCCTGATCGAGTTGTCTTGACTGCTGGCGCTACTGCTGCCAATGAGCTTTTAACCTTCATTTTGGCTGATCCTGGCGACGCATTGCTCGTTCCAACCCCTTACTATCCAGGGTAAGAATCGTTTTCATTGACACCAAAGTACAGACTTCTTAGGTTTTTGAAAATTTTGCAATATTTATTAACCTTTTAGCTTTAAACATTGCAGATTTGATAGAGATTTGAGGTGGAGAACTGGTGTACAAATTGTTCCAATCCACTGTGAAAGTTCAAACAATTTTCAGATTACGCCTGAAGCTCTAGAAGCAGCATATGATCATGCAAGATCAATAAACATAAAAGTGAGAGGAGTGCTCATCACGAACCCTCTAACCCGTTGGGTGCAACCATTCAACGAAAGGTCTTAGAAGAGATCCTAGACTTCGTGACACGAAAGAACATCCACCTTGTTTCAGACGAAATCTACTCAGGTTCAGCATTCTACGCAGATGAATTCGTAAGCATTGCAGAAGTGCTCGAATCAAGAGACTACAAAGATGCTGAAAGATGTCATATTGTTTATAGTCTTTCGAAAGACCTTGGTCTCCCCGGTTTCCGAGTAGGAACAGTGTATTCTTACAACGATCAAGTGGTGACAACCGCAAGGAGAATGTCTAGTTTCACGTTAATTTCTTCTCAAACACAGTTTTTATTGGCTTCTATGTTATCAGACAAAGAGTTTACGCAGAAGTATATAAAGATCAACCGTGAAAGATTGAAGAAACGATATGAAATGATCATCAACGGGCTAAGAAAGGCAGGTATTGAATGCTTAGAGGGGAATGCAGGCCTCTTCTGTTGGATGAACCTGAGTCCTTACTTGGAGGATGCCACTATCAAGAGCGAAATAGCGATCTGGAAGACCATTATGCATGAAGTAAGGCTAAACATATCGCCTGGATCATCTTGTCATTGTTCAGAACCAGGGTGGTTTCGAGTTTGTTTTGCAAACATGAGTGAAGAAACACTTGACGTTGCACTATCAAGAATTCATGAATTCATAGAGAGAAGGAAGCAAGATAGGCAAGTGGTGTGCATCCAGTGATACATTGAATCTTTGACACAAAAGTCTTTTCCTTTTTTGGCAATATTTTTTAGGTGGCAAACCCTCATCAAGATAGGGTTTTTGCGCCAAATACCGGGGATTTTAGTCTGTTTTTGCTCTAATTTCTTTCGAGTGGAATCTCCAAGAAATTTGAGTTTGTAGTACCCATCGGTTGAATACAATTTCGAGATTGATCTTATTTTTTTGTAGCATTTTGTAAAGAATATTGTCTTGTTTTATTATTATATATTACGTGTGTCGGTCTAAAAACCGATCGTAATAGATATTGGAACAATCAAATGTTTTGATTTTCATAGACATAATATAATATGCATATTTTGAAGATCAAAGTCAAAATTATAACACCAGATATGCTATTTCTTTTCATTTTTGTATGTATAATTTTACAATTAGCCGAATAAGATAACGAGGTTTAAATTTATTGCATATAAATTTAAATTGAATAAAATTTCTTTTATAAAAATCGATAAAACTCAGAATTAAAAACAATAACTTCTACAAATTCGAAATAATTAGCTGATATTTATTAACTAGTAAATAAACCGGACATATTCGTAATTTGGTTTTATTGCATTATGATTTGCTCTTATGTTTTCCAAGATAATAAAAGAGCATTTACTTAAAATTAAAGAATTTAGGAATCTACCAAACACATGTTTGATCCATCAAACACCTACTCTCTTTCACATATTTAAAAATAAAATAGATTAAGTTTAGTAAATCTTGTATATATACGATTCACCTTATCAAAATGATTGGTCTTTTATATAATTAATAGATAAAGTTAATGTAAGTAATAATATGTCAATTTATTTTCGTGTTATATATATATATATATATATATATATATATATATATATATATATATATATATATATATAATATATATATATATATATATATATATATATATATATATATATATATAGTTAGGTTCATTTGAGACCACCTATATTTTGTGAGACCGTGAGACGCATTTTTTTATTTATTTTATTTATTTTTTATTTTTTTATATTTTTTTAGTTAATTCATGTTCCGAAAATAATATTTAAAAAAAGAATTTTTTGATTTTTCCATTTATTTTGCATTTTAAAATTATTTTTAGAATATGTAGAGTGTAATATTCTATTTAGAATATTTCACGTATTTTTCAAAAAAAATAGATTTTTTTTTATTTTTTTAGTTAATTCAAGTTCCGAAAATAATATTTAAAAAAAGAATTTTTAGATTTTTCCATTTATTTTGCATTTTAAAATTATTTTTTAGAATATGTCAGTGTAATATTCTATTTAGAATATTTCACGTATTTTAAAAAAAAACGGAATTGTTTTTATTTTTTTTTTATTTTTTTTTTAATATTTTTTTAGTTAATTCAAGTTCCGAAAATAATATTTAAAAAAAGAATTTTTGAATTTTTCCATTTATTTTGCATTTTAAAATTATTTTTAGATTTGGTCTAACGGTCTCACAAAATTAGAATGATCTCAAATTAACCTGAACATATATATATATATATATATATATATATATATATATATATATATATATATATATATGTTCAAATGTTTTTGACAACTATTATGTGACTGAATGCACCAATAAGAATTAAGGAATAATTAAATAATTAAAAAATTGAATAAGGGTAATTATGTAACTTTAGAATGATAATTAAAATAAAATCCCTTAATTAATAGGAATTACCATAAAAATCTCTTTGACAAACTACTTAACCCTAGCCCTAAATCTAACTCATCATCGTTTCTAATCCACGACTTCTGCTTCTTCTTCTACAATCAATCATCAAGATTCAAAACTCATTACCAGGTAATTATCCTTCTCCAATCAATTATTAAGATTTTCTTTCTTTGAGTCTCCGATTGCGTCTTTATTCTGTGTTCAAGTCAATCTTTCCTATTTGTCAAAATTAAAAATTCGATGATTGACTAATGCTATTGTCTGTAAACGTTTGAATATAGATCGTTTCTTTAAAGCTATTACAATCAACCTATATGTAAAACGCGTATCTTGAATTTGTTGCTCATCCATTATGTGTTCATCGTTTTCTTTTATTCCCATTATTATTGTTGACTTGAGTTCATTTGTTTCTTAAAATTGCTAATGATTTCTAAATGAAATTAATCTTTTAAGTATTAACGTGGTGTTGGATGAACAAGATTTTTGGGTCCTGTGATGTACAATTGTCGAACAGTTGGTCAAAGAATGAAAAGTCAAAATTGGATTAAACAATTGAAGGTGGTTGTTGCAATGAACTGGCGATTTTGTTTGTTAATCTAGTTTTTGGAACAAGCCTTTACAATGGTGCGATGCCTTGAAGACTGTCAAAACATAGGCTATCGAAGCACTGTTAATTCCATCTCGCAATTTGGTGCTTCACGTTTTTCAGGATCGCTGTGTTATGGGTCTTGGAATCGGGGCATATGTCAAAATCGGATGTGTGATGTGAACCATGAAATTGGTAATTGTATCTGAATTGGAATGATTTAGGGACTCAATCGGGAAGAACAACAGTCAAACGTGGGCTCCTGTGTGGTTGGTGTGCCACTTCAAGTTTGTTGTTGATCTGATAAAGAAGGCTACAAATTCTTTAAGAATATTTAAAACCATTCTGCAAGAATAGTTTATTCTGTAAGAATATTTTTGTTGTATTCTGAAAGAATTGCAATTAATTATTTGTATGCTTAAGGTGCAATTGTTAGGATGATGCAGGAATGATGAGGAAACTTATGAAAAAAAGATATATGATACTTCATTCTCAAAGAATGAAGAAAAACAACAATATTCTTTCAGAATTTCAAGATTCAACATCCAAAAACAGTAATATTCTTTCAGAATTCAAGAAGAAAACATGGCACACGATAGTATTCTAGCGGAATATTGTTATTTTTTTAAGAATGTTATTCATTTTTGTTTATATTCTTTTAGAATTTTTATAACTATATTAAAATGTATAAGACTTTTAGTCTGTAAGAATATATATGAATTTGTATTTAAGTTCGGATGTATAAGAATATATTAGAATGTTTGTTATTTGAACATCTTATTCATGATTTTTTTTTTCTTCAGTAATATTCTGTTAGAATAAAATTCTGAAAGAGTATCATTCTAACAAAAAAAATATTCTGGTAGAATAAAATCGGTAAAAATTGAAATTGAATTAATTAAAAAATTCATATTTTTTTAAATTAGGAGAATTAATCATCCCTAAAAATCCGAAAATTTCATTTTATAAATGTAGTTAATTGTCCAAAATACCCTTTTGATAAAAATTATGTGATTATATGATACATGCTACCCTATTGTAATATCATAAACCTTCAGATCATGATTGTTGATTCTATTCATCCGATGGTCCAGATCTGTGCATTCTGGCACACAATAATTACTGGAAACAATATAACCTAACCATATATATATATATATATATATATATATATATATATATATATATATATATATATATATATATATATATATATATATATATATATGGGAAAAGTAAATATACCTTTAAGGGTATATAAGCATAGGTACTCAAACTCACCATAATTAGTAGCTTTGTTATATATATTCATTATAATGTTCTTAAACTTCAACCCCTAACTTGATTTACTTTGAAGATTTTCAAAATTTCACTATTATCTTCCTTTTATATCATATCTTTTTGCCGAACACCTACTAGGCTATATAAATTATAGTTGAAAATGAAAGTATGTAAGAGGAAGATAAATGTGAAATTTATAAAAATCTTAGAAGAGGAAGATATAATAAAAAACGATTAGACAATTAGATAATTACAATTTAAATATATAATACAAAACGATGTAGTATAGTGAGTTTGGGTACCTAAGCTTATATATCTTTAAGGGTATATTCACTTTTCTTTCTCTCTTTCTCTCTCTCTCTCTCTCTCTCTCTATATATATATATATATATATATATATATATATATATATATATATATATATATATATATATATATATATATATATATATATATATATATATATATAAGGGAGGGTAATGTGAAAATGAAAATGATTTGCGAAAACACGAAAACAAGAAAAACATGATATTGTGTCAACTCAACATTATAATTACGAAAATAATTCATCCAAACTTTGAAATACATGATGATAATCGGTGATAGATGAGAAATTGTTTCATATTAGTAAAATATGATTTTTAACATTTTTATTATGAAAACATGAATTTATAAATGATTAAGGATGTGACTTTTTTTTATTAAAACCATCTTTAAATCTATAATATCATAACACTATCCAATGTAAACTTACTATCTTTAATTTATTGCTAATAAATTTATTTTTTTATACTATATGTGTTTGATTTTTATAAGATACAATCTGTTTTCGCGTTTTCGCAATATATTTATGTTTTCGAACTTACTTCTCTCTCTCTCTCTCTCTCTCTCTCTCTCTCTATATATATATATATATATATATATATATATATATATATATATATATATATATATTATATATATATATATATATTCCTTTGAAAAATCTTAGTTTCTCGAGAACCTGATATCTAAAGATGGAGCGTTGGATTTGAAAATTAACTCATTAAGGATATGATCGTTATCTTATTAATCTCATTTAGTGTTTAATTTTTTGTGATATTTGATAATTAATAAAAAGATCTCAAATTTATCATAAAAAATTAAATTTTAGTGTTTTTTCAAATAGTAATTTTTGATTTTTTAAAAATATACATATTTTTAAATTTTTTAAGCAAACATAAGTTTTTAAAAAAAATGAAAAGAAATTTTTTAAAAAAAACTGCAATTTTTTTTAAAAAAATTATAATTAAAAAATCAATAAATTAAAAAAAATTGTAACATTAAAAAAAACACCGATATTTTTTTTTACAAAAAAAAAAAAAAAAGAAACAACATTTTAGGTGCACATATGTATCTTTTTTCAGGTAGATATGTA